AATAAGTTTTGACATTGAATTCCTCTGCTTTCTCGATACGCACAATACTTCAACATTTTGTTGAGATGTGACTCTACTGCCATTTCCCACGTACATAAAATGGGTAACATTCCATTTCCAGAATTATTTCCACTGTCGAAAGAAAAATGGCACGGGTGTCGGAAACGGGTATTCACATCTTACATTGGATCTGAGGATGGCACTTTTATTGCAGTTCGTGAATCGCGACGTTTCACTCCTAAAACTGACTGGTTACTATCAAGCGCGATTCATACTTGGTCTATTCGGGTTTGGAAAAAGGACGGTTCTAGAACGGTTCAAAACAATCGTCCAGTTTATTGATCAACAAAATAACAACGACTCGATTATCACAAATTTCAATAATAAACTGTGCGATCATTCTGGACCGTTCTAGAACCGTACTTTTTTCAAACCCGAATAGGCCTACTATAAGTACCGGCAACCTCACGTCACCGTATCGTCAAGGACACGTCAAATATTCTCCTCGAGAAATGTTGGTGGCCCGGGACGGTTGCGTGTCGGTGCCGTAAAGGTGTAGTGTGAATACGACCATTGCTCTCAATGTAAGAATATTTGATGCGTCGTTGACGGTGCGGTGACGTGACGGAACCCGTACGTATAGTATAAATCACGCCTTAAACCAAGCCTTTGATTTATTAGAAAAAATCTTTAACAAATCGCAGGTACTTACATCTTTTCGTTTTACGAATCAGCAACAAATATGGAAAGCATATTTTTTAGGGTTAGCGGGGACCCTAGCGCTTTAGAAGCGTAGGTCTCTCACGTCTATTTGCACCGCTATCACTTAAGGGATATTTAATCTAAGTGGAGATTTGAAGGTGATTCTTGTAGAAATAAAATTAACAGTGAAAGCTCCACTTACACCAAATATCCCTCAAGTTATAGCTGTGCAAATAGCCATAAGAGCCCCTAGTACTCTTATGCTTTCAAACCATTCTCATTGATCCTGCTAAAAATTGTACGGGTCTGTCAGGATAGAAACCTTTCTTTCCTCAATGGCTCGCACATAATATCAACCAAAGATTTGAAACGTTCTACTCACATACATCAAGTTTATTCCCAGTTTCTGTCAGTGAAATAGGGTTAAACGTTTTCAAAGTGGGTATTCTCGATTCTCGAAGCTCTTAATTAAATGTTGTTGAATATCTGATAATGATGTTCAAATGTAATCACAAAAGCTAGCAACTTTTCTTGCACTAAAACCTGGCCAAGGATTACAGAAGATTCCGCTCATTCGTCTAAAATGAAACTAACAAGGTAGCTAAAAACATTTCCGATCCCATCACAAAAGAGTCGGAAGACCCCACTTCAAATGGCCCATAAGCATCAACACACTTCACCTTGTATGACAAAAAAAAATACGTAAAGTCCTAAAAAATACAATGGATGAGTAGAATCAGCAGAGTAATTGAAAAATTAACCAACTAGCAAGTTTCCATCAAAAAAAAAAAAACTCAAATAAACTGCTGGACAATTGCTTTCGAACAAGGGAAATATCGCCTAACTTTCAAGATCGATATTTTTGAAACCAGACTAGATATCGACCTCCGGTTTTCACGGGCTGACAGATTGACTTTTTGTGAAAAAAATGGCTATTTTGAAATTTTTTTAAATGTCTACTTTTTTTTTATACAGGGTATTAAAAGAGTCCATGATTTTCATCCCAATTTTGAATGTATGTAACTTTCTCAGATAATTTTTTAAATTTTATTTCTATGCGGCGTTTTAATCAATGATCTTCTGCAAAAAAAGTAATTTCTCAAATTTTTTATACCTGCCTTAGTATTAAAAATATCGACTTTTTTTCATAACCTCCACTTTTTTCAACTTTTAAGCACTTAAGCCATCCTGGACAATAAATCTTGCATCTTATGCTGCTGTTTGATATACCCCACGATATCCTGGTTTATTTTCAATGAAAAAAAATACTAAAATAATGTGGTGTCCAGTAGCGTACTAATAATCGCCCATTTTCGAAATAATTTAATAATGGCTCACCGATTTTTACATTCAGAGGTGCAAAATTTTAAAAATAATCATTTGAAGTTTCATTTGTTTAGTTCACTTTAATCATTGACATATTATTAAGAAACCAGTTTCTCAAAATTTTGATATTTGCCTTTGTTTTTAAAATAACGTTCTCAACTTTTCCGTTCTAAACCATCTTGAATCGTTCTTACCGGTGAATTTTTTTAGCAATTGTCATACCTTTCAGCCAGCGTATTTACTATGATTAAAAATATCGAATACCTCAATGATATGCTGTACAGTGGCGTGCAAACAGAAATTATTATTTTTCATTAAATCAATTTTATTAGCAATTGTTATAATATCTTTCGATTAGCGTATTTTTATGATTAAAAATTTCGAATACCTCAATGATATGCTATACAGTGGCGTGCTAATAATTATTAATACCACTGATAAAATTTAAATATTCGGAACCGATTTCGTTGTGGTGAGAGGAAACCCGAATTTTTATTACCAGCTAATTTTCTTTATAACTTCATGTTTCAATTAAAAATTATTCCACTAATGGTAGCAGTATCAAAAAATAAAGTTAAGGATGGTAAAGTACATTATCTGCCAAACAAAAAATTATACGCACAACGTTAATGCTTCTTTAAGTTGATTTTAAACAAAACACAAAAAGTGTTCCTATAGGTTTTCTCACGTTATATTTAGGATGATGTCCATAGAATATGATGTCGTAGAACAAGGACTGACAATGTTGTCAATGCCTATTTTTTTCCTTATAATTTCCCAGAATGTGCTAATAAATTATCAAGACCACTGACAGCTAGAAATAACAAAATGAATCGACACGTGTTATTTATTTGAAAATGTTTATTCAAATCATACAATGTTGCGCGCCGTTGTCAACCGGTAACATCTGAAATTCCCCTACTTTAAATGCGTTAAGATTTTTTTTTTCAGGTAATGACCAACGTGAATACAGGAACACAACGGTCCCTGTTTGGGAATCGACCCACTGAGCAGTGGACCCAGACTTCCCGTGCCAATCCTTGACGCGTTTCGTCCTTGTTAGGACTCATCAGAAGGACATAGGCTGAAGCTCCCTGTCCAAGCAAAATTGAACTTCGTTGACCAGCCAGAAACAACTACTCCGAGGGCAAATACCCCTACCGGCGTTGAACTACACTGATTGGTCTGAGCTTTCGTTGGCAATGAAAATTGTTAGAAAGATTTTTTTTTCAGGTAATGACCAACGTGTTCAATTTTGCTTGGACAGGGAGCTTCAGCCTATGTCCTTCTGATGAGTCCTAACAAGGACGAAACGCGTCAAGGATTGGCACGGGAAGTCTGGGTCCACTGCTCAGTGGGTCGATTCCCAAACAGGGACCGTTGTGTTCCTGTATTCACGTTGGTCATTACCTGAAAAAAAAAATCTTTCTAACGATATTTCCCTTGTTCGAAAGCAATTGTCCAGCAGTTTAGTTTCAAAAAAATATCATCTAAAATGTACGATCTTATTAGAACGAATTTGCTGAAAGGCTTCAAAGAATTTGGCGGTTATTCGGCTTTTCACCATCAAAAACGTCGGGAAGCTAATATTTCAGATAGACGTGATTTAATTCGGCTTCCTGGCTGTCAATAGAGTCGTAGTTTGGGAGCTCTCTACTTGAACTTTAGGGTTCAGTAACCGCCAAAGATCGCTCTGCCAAAAGCAGAATTTAGTTAGAAAATATTTGGACACGTTTGAATGAGATATTGATTTTGCAAGATATAGAGGTATCATGAAATTACTTCTTTGAGAGTCAATTTCCTAATCAACGGCTAACTTTTACTTCTCTGTTGAACTAGAAAACTGTTGATAAAGAACATTCTGGAATTAATTGAGCTGTGTTAATTTTAATATAAATTTCTAAACCCGAAAAACTATTGAATGAAGTCAAGTCTTTCCCAAAATAAGTCCATTGGATCACAGCGTAATAAAAAAGTACCTAGTTAAAAGTTTTTATCAAGGTGTTCGGACTTGCGATGAAGATTGTGACAATAATGTTTATGGGTTGTTAGTAGGTAGTTTAAAATTCAAGATTTCGTACTTAGGGATAATATGGAGAACATAACAAGAACTTACCTGCGTATAACCTTTCAAATCACAGAGTTTCATTCCTTTGTACCAGCTTGCGTAAGTTTAGTTTATACACTGCCCTAAATTTATTTTGGTTTTTTCTTCTTTTCTTTTCTTTTCTTTTCTTTTCTTTTCTCCTATTTTTGTTTTTTTTTTGTTTTGCAGAAATTCATGATTACTGTTCGAATGGCAGTTTTTATTTCAAATGCTAGGTTTTAATCTATATTCAATTCCACAACTTTTTTCTTTATTTCATATTGGTATTAATTCATCCCATTTCTTCTGTGGTGGAAAATTTGTCTTCATTAATTAGTTTTCACTTTCCTCGGTTTGGTAGTAAGGAAAGTAGGTATTGTATTCACGTAAGAAATGGACCTCGAGATTTTTTCACATTTATTCGTTTTCGTTCATATTTTCTCAATTCCGTCGGTCTGTATATCTATCTGTCTGTCTGTCGGTTTATTGGCGCTCTATCTCAATAACCTTAACCTAGAACAAAATTTTTTGGTATATACACGTTCCACACCTACCGACAATGCTAATGTGAAGGTTTTCGTTCGAAAATATGCCGAGTGTCCCAAAAAATATGTGCCACTATCAAGAGCGAATGATACAAAGTTGGTTAGGTACCTATATTAACACAAAGTTACCGTTCTTGTAGTTTACCACTGATACGCTTTTGTTGTCCATTTTTTTCTTCTTTTCAAGATATGAGGCCCTTTGAAATTTTGATATTTGTCGAAAAAAGGGTGGGATGATTTGCCGAGGGAAGTCATGGGTAAAAGTTTCTACGAATTTTTTGTCAAATGAAAATATGTCCGCATTATAGAAAAACATGTTCATACCAAATTTTAATTTTCAGTTTGCATAGTTGGAGATGTCGTCTATGCAGCAGATGAAACAGTTCTAGCTGAACAACTATGTCTGAAATGTCGCTGTCAACCACCAGGAGTTCAATGTGAGACTGTTCAATGTGCCAAGAAACCTGGATGTAAAGCCATTCATAGACCGAACCAGTGCTGTCCTGATTATCAATGTGGTAAGTCAATATTTAAATTTGGAGTTAGATCAACAAACAAAATTAAAGTTAGGTTAAAAGTTAAGTTAGGTTGAGAGAATTATATATTTGCAAAATCTGAGTTTCCTATGCCGGAGACCTATTGACTACTGAAAAATACTTCGGACACTTTTGATAGGAAACATCAATTTCAAATGAAAGGTCCTGTATATTATTAACTCGGTTGTATACCGCTGTTTTATTACAGGAAATCTTACTTACTTCGCCATTATAAATGGTGATTTCAATGCCAAATTGGAACTGAAGACTCAAAAGAAACTGCTCTGGGAAGTTTTGGAAGTCCAATCAGAAATCATCGTGAAGAGACACCTTACTTAACTTCCTATTAGAGAACAACTTGTTCCAAATTAACAGCTTTTTCATTGAGAAACACCATTGAAGATGAACCTGGACAAGCTCGGATAGAACAACAAAAAACTGTATAGAATAACTTCATAACGGATGAGAGAAATATGCTCAAGGACGTGACAGTTCTGAATAAATTCGCAACAGCAGAATGATAAAAGACAAAAGTAAGACTTGTACAAACTCGAAAGATGAAAATGGATTTGCTGAATACATCTCTAAAACCCTCCAAAGCAAACCAATAACGAACGACATCAATTAGTTAAATGATAAAATCGTGGATACGATAACAGAGGCAAAAAGGAAACTCAAAGGAGCAAAAAATCAAGACAGAAACAAGAGATTTCTTAGAATTGACAAAAAGGCAGAATAAGACACTTTAAAAGGAATGAATAGAAACATTGCTAAGGCCATTGAGAGAGACATATGTAAGAGAAAAACGATAAAATAATACAAACAATCGAGGAAAACAAAAGTATGAAGGCAATGGGAAGGAAACTTGCCAATGGAAATAAGAAAAAAAATTTCAAGCTTAAAGACGAAACTGGACAACAAACAATAGACAAGAAATACTACGTATTGTGGAAAGGCTTTAAGGGAATCTTTCGACACACACAGGGGTCAGAGAACATTCCCGACATTCCTGTAGAGGATATATACAATGCGCTTGAAAATATGAAGATCTACGAAGCTCAAGGTGAAGACAACATAAGAAAAGACACAATAAAAGTAGGCGGCAAAATATCAATCATTTTCAACCTGTGCGCTCACATTCAAAACATCCGTAATGACTGGAACAAATCAATCATGCTCCTTCTACACAAGAAAGGAAATGAAGATCTTTAGAATCATCGGTATCAGTTTATTGAGTAACTTGTCACTTGTATGAGCTATATACTCGAATTATTGGAAACAGTTTAGGGACTAGACTAGATTTGTATCAACCTCCAATGCCTAGAAACCTGTAAACCCCAATTATAGATTGGAGACGTTGCAGTTGGTCGTTATATTTAAATGTTGCAGTTCGAGACAAAACATGACTAACTTTTGAACGTCGAGCGTTAAATGCAACGGCTGATGTTAAATTTGTAATCACCATATTCTTTCAGTGTTTGGTAGACTTTGGTCCAACGGCAACGTCAGGCGTCAAACCGCAACGTTTTGATTCTATAATTGGGACTTAAGAGAAAAGACTGTTGAGGACAATGTCCCCTTAGCACTAGCATTTGTTGACTTCCGATCAATGGAGTTACCAGCAATTAGAACAGCTTTACAAGAATGTAGAATCGATCATTCACAGGTACTACAAACTAAAATATTATCAAAGATATCTATGCTTGAAGGTAACTAAAATAGCCACTCTCCACTGCACAACCATCAAAATCAAGCCCAACCAAGGAGTCAGGCAACGTGATACACTGTCATCTGTCACCAAAATATTTCATCACCGTCCTTTTACAAGGTAAATTGGCGACAGAGTGTTGCAGCCGACGAAAAAAAACTGCACCACTTTCATTTTGCAGATCGTCCTCATCTCAGACAATATTGGAGATGTCAATGAATTGCCTGTTTCCAGAGCTGCATGAGGGCACAGAAAGAGTTGAACACACAAATACTAATAGGAAAAGGAAGATGGTTGCAACCTCAGCTAACCAAGTCGAAATAAAAATAGGTGTGTGGAAATAGTGGACAAATATACAAAAATGAAAGACGTTTTCAGTGTGGTGCAGAGACCTTTAGTCTAACAAAAGCGAAGATTAAGGGTTGCACGAAAAAAAATTGAAAGATAAAGGCTTGGCTTGAGTCTTAGAGACCGAGTGTGAAAGGAGGAGATACGAAGGAGATCGATAGTGAACGATGTTGTTGTCTCATCAGTCATCGCAAGAGCGAAAGGCAAAAGGGCCGGATACGTTACAGATGGACAAGGAAACTGCTCCAAATGAGACCACGGGCCGACAAGCGAAGTAGAGGCTGATCCCTACCCGATTGAGTGATAACCTGAAAAAGATCAAGACAAACTGGATTGCGATTGCCCAGGAGAGGGAAACCTGGAAACGGATTGGGGAGACCTAGATTAGATTATGTAAACGGTTGTTTAGGTAATAGACCTCTCCACACTGCGGCCTCAATAGGTCTATTGTAGTTCCCCTTTCTTAGGATTGGTTCTTTTAACATCGGCAGCAGTCATATATGTCTGCTCCAGATGAATAAGTCTTCTGTGACATAACGCTTCGCATTTGCAGAGTATGTTTGGCAGATTTGGATGCTTCTCTGTAGAAAAGACAAAGGTCTGATTGAGATTTACCACCCCTCTTTTTTAGGTGGTAGCCTTAGTTAGTTAGTAGCTTAAGTTCTGGAATCATGTTTCACCTCTACCCATTTTTTGTTCGGTCCTTACATGGCTTTTTGTCAGGCCAAAGAAGGGTTCTGAATCGAGGACTGGTGACGCGGTGCTCTTTCTTGTGTGAGAAGACCTATCTCCAGCAGTAAACCCAGAGGCGGAATTCTGTAACGGATAGAGGTCTTTATCCCTATCGCTATGGCACGTGCTGTCATTCTCTTTCTTTCCGAAATCAATAGAGAGGGGAGGTCAATAGAGATAGCGAATATCTCTATCCGTTACAGAATCACAGCCCAGGAGGTTGCGCGATGATGATTATGATAATACTTCTGCGTTGGCTGATTTTATTGATGTAGGGCTTCATTATTTTTTAAGAAAAAGAAATATCCGTTTTTGTCATAAGTAACAATGTGTTAGAAGCGATCTCTGTCTTCAAGTCAAAGCTCTTTTTATATGTAGAACTCTACTTGATATTCGATAGTCTATTACTTATAAACTAACATCGGTGTAATGGTAGATTATAATATGTCAGCCGTTAATTCTGGCGTATGTTGCGTATGTCATCCTAATACACAAAATAAAGCTCAGAAGTGCAATTTAAATAGAAAATTTATTATTATCATTATTTTTGCGCAAGTCGGGGATCCGATTAATTACCGAATGTTTAATCTAGAAACCGAAATTTGCATTCCTTTTGGTTAGGTACACGAAACTTAGTGTTTGCACCGGTTGCTTAGATAAAACATTTAAACCTAGAAAAGTGAAAGCTGTGGTAAAAGCTACTTAAGTTGAATACAATTTCAAAACAAAATGCATATTTTTAGGCAAGTTATCTGATCACTGTTTGATAGAATAGACTCGTACAAATATTACATTCAATGCAGTTATCCAGAGAATTGCTTTGAACTTCTCCACATACGGAAATATCGAGTTTTATTTCAAATACGAATATATTATAAATGAGAATATCGAATTTGGAACTGTTCTATTTTCAGAATGTGAGCATGATGGTAAAATATATGGTAATGGAGAAAAACTTGAAACAAATCCTGGAGGCGAATGCAAAGTGTGTTACTGTCGGGGAGGTGAAGTACAATGCGCTGAAGTTTCATGCTATGTAAGAAATGATTGTGAAGGTAAAAGAGTACCTGGTACTTGTTGCCCAAAGTACGATAATTGCCCTCCTATTGGTAAATATATTTTAATTAGTATTTACTAACGTTTTCAACTTATTGTAAATTTTTCAAGATATTCTTGATAGATCATCACTAATAACAGAACAACCAGCAAACACGTTCAAACCAACACATTTCCAAATATGGCAAGAAATAAATTCAACTGAAGTCCCAAGCCTGCCTACTGAAAATAGCATTCCAGAAGATAGCAATAAGGTTCCAGATACTAGCGATTCCGCTACCGCGTCTCCTTTTTTTGAGGAAATTTCAAAACCAGTTGATACATCACATCCCAGGTAGGTGACATTCCCCCGTATCTGGAAAAAAATTTCAAAATATTGTTTTCTGTTATTCCAGAATAACCATTCAAGAGATTATTCCTGAAGTCAAGGAGATTCCAGTAACATCCCCACCAAAAATCTATATATCTGAACCTCAAGGAACTCTTGTAATTGAAGAATCTTTACCAGCACGCGAAAATACCTCAAATGATCTTAACATGGACTCTGAACCTGAATCTAGTGAAGTACGTCCAATTTATTCTTGCTTTTTTTATCTAAAATAATCACATAAACAATATTTTGCAGGTATCAGAGGTTTTTCAGCACCCACCTCCAGTTTTAAGAATAGGGGATAAACTATTATTCCTCAAAAAGGGTAACCTTATACCCGAAAAGGATACTACCACTGCTGATAGTATAATCACTATTATAGGTGCCGAGGGTTTACAAAGAGGAGGTGTGGAAGAAAGCCTAGAAGTTCACGAAGTCAGAATTGATCCACAGGTTGATATCTCAAATGGCAAAGCAATTTCAAACACGCAAGATCAAAGTGAAATACATAACACTAGTGGGGATTTAGAATCAATTTATGAAAGTTTCAATCTCACCAAAATTGTTCAAGAACCAAATACTAACACAGACACAAATGATTTGGAGCTCAAATCAGCAGAAAGCACACATATTCTCAGTTTGGTGAAGAGGAAAAATACCAAAGCTTTAACCACAACATCTACAATACCCACAACCACACGACCAAAAGAAATTTCTACCACTTCAGCAAGCATAGTTGAGGAGCCTCAAAGTCAAACCACAGTATTACCTGAAACAGGAGGAACAACTGTAATAAACGAAACAACAGGTATTAACACTTCTACGACAATTTTGCCGGTAATAGAAGCTAGAACTGAATCACAACCGAAAAGCACTGAATTAGTTGCTGAACAAAACCCAGCTTACCCTCCAATACCAGATATAATGCCTGCTGTTGGTGATGTTTCTCAAAAATTTGAAATTGAGTTAGAAAATGACAATTCAACCACGATGGAGATCAAAATTTTACCGGAAGTTTTCGATTTTCTAAGCAACAAATCAAGAAATAATGAAACTCACAGTGAATGGCTAAAATCACCCACGGGAGGGAAGATCAATGGCACTGTGGGCAATTTCAATGCAGTAATATTGCCAGATGAAAAATTTAAAGAACGATCTTCTTTTGATGAAGAGAACGCTACTAGGATTTTATCAATGACCTCAGACCCTGAATCGGAAAATTTTAAGACAGTTATTACTGTTGACAATATTGGAGATTCCTCTATAAAAACTAGTTCAGAAGGGGATGCGGAAAAGGCAAAAACAGACAATTTTGGAGTTCTTAAGAAAAAGGAAACCTTAGAAAATAAGGAAAAGGAACCACAAAAATTAGGGGCAGCTTCTGAAAAAGTACTACTGCAAAGAAAGCAAAGCTCAACTGGAGAAATTCAACAAGAAACTGAAAGAATCATTGAAAATAAGACGGAGAAACAACTGTTGGAGGAAGGTGCCCAATTGATAGCAGAAGTAAAACTATCAGGAAATGAATTTGAGAATGCAGAATCATCTAGTGAGTCGCCAAGTATTATAACTATATCCAGCATCGTATCAGAAGCGATTGGTAAAGATAAGCTAAAAAATAATGAAGATGAAAATAAGTTAAATTTAGCAGTCATCATGAAGGCATCGGAATTGGAAGTAGCAAAACTTGACCATCTTTCTAAACCGACTACTGCAATCATCCCCAGGTATGTAGAAAGTATTGAAACTGACAGTGGGGAGCAAACTACTCCAAAGGCGAACCACTCATCTATGATCTCTAGTGAAAGTGCTAGTGTTGAGATCGCTCAATTAGAAGATAAAACTAAACATTCAGAAACTAGAGATATGACCTCTAGGAAAGAAAACAGCTTTGAACTAGGTAGTGTTGAAATTATCGATAATAGTTCAGATGCAATACCAAAGGACGTTGAAATGATTGGTGTCCAAGAAATTAACTTATTTTCAACAACTGAGGTTTACAAAAAAAATGAAATGGAACAGGACGTAGAAGTCATACACTTACTCACTACACCTAAACCCACGAATCCAGCTAGAGTAGAAACCAGTACCTATGAGCTTTTACCTACACCTGAACAAGCCAAATCAAAAACATTGATCAAAAGAGATACTACAGGGGATGACAATGTTTTTAAAGATTTAGAAAAAGAATTGGAAGCCGAGTCGTCAGGGAATTCTTTCAAAGATCCTAAAAAAGAAGAATCAGAAGCTGACGAAATTTTCAAGGAGCTATTGAATGAGAACATAGGTAATACCAAAATCAAGCCAAAAACTAAAGAGCAAGAAAAGATTGATAATATTAGTGATGCTTTAGCTGGATTTGCTTTGAAAGGCCAAATACCGGACCCCAATGTGTTAAGGCTTATTGGAGAACTTTTTGGAGGACAGCAACGAGAATAAAAGTATTTTTTTTGTTAGGAAATATATTCTTTTGTATGTTTCAAAACCTGATTTGGTTCCATTATAAGGTCGAAGACGATTTTGCTACCAAGCTATTGGTACTACTGAGAGCTTTAGAATTTTTGCCAATATAACTGTGAGATATCTAGTGTTAAGTAATTATCCAGTATTTATTACCTACCTATGTGTAATTATTGGACAATTTTAGAAAATAAAATTGTTCATTTATCTCTTTAAGTCTACTGTAGATTTAAGATAATTGATTTTGTATAGATATTAGGTATTGTAAAAAGTTATCATCACCAAATTAAAAATATTGTTTCATATTTTATTATACCTGTGTCATTGGACCAAAAAACTAGCTCACTTATGACTTCAAAGATTATTAGCCTACCTAAAATTTTTCAACAATTTTCAAAAGTACCTAGTGCAAAAAAAATTACCTTCAGTAAAATTACAGATATCTACAGTACCTATTCCAAACTAAAATGAAAAAGTCAATGATTCTCATTATTAATTCCATCTGTCGGTACAGCTGAAAATATGGTTCTGAACACATTACAATATTACAACTGCAAATAGTCAGCAATATGTGCCATTTGCGAGGTTGAGACAGTAATCGAGCAAATGAAAAAAAAATTAACTCGGATTTTGTGACAGTGGTTGGCTTTCAGAATATGGCTTTCTGAAAGTACAAAATTCAATGCGCACGGTATATATATAACACATACCATACTTGAATTTGAAGTTTCCCAGAGAAAAGGCAGCTCAATGAAAATGATTTTTCAAAAGCGTAAGTTATCTTCTACCAGTATTAAACAATAGACACATAATGTTTCCAAATTTGATACCCCTACAAAAAAAAACACCTCTATGGTCATGCAATGTTTCCTAATTTCAATAGCGAAAAGCCCTCCATCTGAATTTTCTGCCTGCTTGAGATGATTTCGGCTTGGCAACTCTTTTGACTTCTTTGACCCTTTTCACTGCAAAACCGTTCGGGTCACGCCACTGGGCGGAAATATTGCAAGGGCAAGTGATCACGTAACTATGAAACTGCTCTTTATCCGCTCCGTTTTGCCAAGCCGAACTCATTTTCTAACCTCAATGAAAATATCAACGTAAGAAAAGATAAGAGTTGGTCATCTCTTACGTTGCGTTTCCGGTGACATACTTGACGCAAATAAATCGAATGTGCGCACACTTAGGACTTATGTTACGTCTTTACGGTTACGTTACGTCCATTGTAAAATGAGCTTTAAAGTGTCTAGTGTCTCAGAACTCTCGGATCGGTATCCGCATCGGTATCTAATGCGCATGTGCAGAAGCTATTCGGATGGCGCGACACCTTACGTACGAGCAATGTTGCGTTATACGGCCCTCTCGCGGTATCTCTATCGGTAACGCATCCCAACTAAATCACGTCATGCTTGTGTCAAAAGCAGGCAGCAACGGGTTGAAATTCTCTAATACTATATTTGTGTTATAATCTCGAAAAAAGTTGTAAGGATGTGCTCCTCTACCATTTTGAGGTTGAGCATAAAATCGCGGAAAACTCACACAAAAATTGCTTAGTTAATTTATGACGTTTACGTTACCGGAACAAATAAATAAGATTTAACATTCTTTCGCTTGTCAACGAGTTACGTTACCGATACCGATACCGGCGAATTGTCTAAAGCAGCTTCTCTGATATCTTTTCGCTCTCTCAATAACAATATACCTAATATCATATGCATAGTCAGCCAATAAAGTAATGTCCCTAATTAAAAATTTATCCATCTATAGAATAAAACGTTTGGCATTTAGCTGTGGTTGGTTTATCAGCTGTGGGCAAATTAAAAAAATATATATATTCAATGGTTTCTGTTTAAGAGGCCAGTGCATTTTTAATTCCAGAAATAGCTTTATTAGCTGAGTACAACCAATAATCTATCTCTTTGCGGCAAGCGCCTCATTCCTGAACAACTTGGCAACGGGCGGCGGGGCCTGATCTGAAGTTAACATTTAAATATGTTCAATTTTTATTTATTTTTTTGTTTCTATACATGCATGATATTGGAATTCCTTGTATTGTTGTAACAGTTGTTTTGATGGTGTAAATGTGGTTAATTTGAAATACTGATGCTAATACACTATCATCTCCACGATGCAGGAAATATCCAGGACTCTACCGCGAATTTAGAAATTGCGCAAACCATTACCCCGCACACAAAACTGGGCAAAACTTTACCGGGCAATTCAAAACACCAAAAATTTGATTCTCAACCAGATGTCAACGTAAGAGGCCAAGCAAAACAAAACCACAAGTGTCGGAAACCATGGGTTTCTGAAGTTATGAGAAATTTAATTTAAATCTGATATTTTGAAAGGTTTTCAAGGTAGCAATTAGAAATTCGCAGATCCTGTTCTTTTTCGACGCAAACCAATGAATCGATTTAGATAACAGATTCTGGACTTAATTTTACAAACAGTCTATAGAAATTTGTTACTCAAAAAAAAAAAAATGTTTTTCAGATATAGGGTGCTCAAATTTCAAAACTCAAAGATTGTTTTTATCGTAGGTACTCGTTCATTTTGTTGTTTTTTCTGTATTATTTTATTTCGCACTCTTGCTTGTGCTTCTTTATATATTTCTTCATCGCTTTTTTGTCGAGATTAGGTACATACTGTTAGTTTTTTTTTCTTTTGTCTGCTATGTCTTTCTCGATTTCTTCATTCCACCAAATAACGTTTTTGTGTTCTTTCAATTTTTTCGTATTTTCCTAGGGCTTCAAATGCTGCACTGTGAATACTTTGATATGCTGGTAATGCATTTCGGGGTTTTGAAGGTTCAGAGTTATCCGTAATTTTCGCTCCACATTTCATGTACGCTTTATTCTTCCAGAGATTTTAGGTTGTATTGGCTCAGTCTAGGCTCTTTGTTTTTCCTTTCCGTTGTCTTTTGCGATGTTTCTCCAAGGAATAAATATTCTTGTTTTCAGCAGGTAGTGGTCACTGCCACAGTTCGCTCCCCTTTATGATTTCACATCCTGGAATTTTATGTTCGAAGTCAGTGTAGGTAGTCAATAATCGATTTTTGTTGTATAGTTACATTCTTCCTCGTATTTCTGTATTGTTTCTCCATTGATATTTGTTAAATTTTCTCCAAATTTTCCTACTATTCTTGCCTTTTCTTCCTGTTCGTCCATTAAAGTCTCCCAGCAATATTATTTTCCTCCAATTTTTTACTTTTATGATTTTGAACACTAAACTGTTGATATTTTATGACGTGTGTGTAATAATACGTACTTCACTTTTTAAGGCTCCACATTTTTTTTTTGCTAAAAGTGACCAGGTTATTGAGATATTTAATATCTAAGTTTTATCAATAATTATTATTCTCGTATACTTATTGTAAGGCCTTGAAAATCTTTACACTAATTATCTTAATTATTTCTCGTAAATATCTCAATCAATAATCGCTTTTAATAATAAATAGGTAGATACATTTTCTTTTTCTTTCCTAATCGTTATTTAACGAACAAGTGTATCATTAACAGGAAATAGGTACCTAGTTATTGATATTTTTTAATTATATTTCAACCTGCAAGTGTGAGAAAGAGGCAGGAATATTGATCCTATTTTCAAATGAACAATTATTAACAGGTACTATTTCCATTTTTGTAGAGCAACGTTATAACTAAACCAAGTTTATAGATAAACTCGAGTAAAATTATAAATTGCCTTGCATCGTTCTCCAAAATTCGATTGAATTAATCCAATCCAGGATTAAATTGAATAATCGGTGTTGGCGGTCTAATTTCCTATATCAAATTCTAACCTAGAAAATGTATTTTTGTACCACTTGCGGCACTAATTTATTTGTGAATATATATACCCCCCACACATCATTATAGAAAACTTTATTTATCATCGTTACGCTACAAAATAGGTACACCATCTTCTGTATACCTATTTCATTTTCAATTACCAAAATTTGAAACCTTGGACATATTGTAATTGGGGTTTTTTATTGAAGCAATTTTTATGGTATCTACCTTCGTATTGACCATTTATATAAAACTATAACCCTATAAGTTTGTATGCCTGTGGAAATCTGATCTGGTCACTACAGAACAGCAGATTTTACGACTTACCAGCCGTCTAGGCTCCTCTAGCAATACTCCTTTTCTGTTCCTCAAACTTCTTTATTCCACTGAAACTAAAAATATTTCAATAAACATTAGGAAAACACTCGCAGGGGACACAAAATATTTGAACGTTTAAATTTTTCTAACAGTATAGGTACTAAGACGTGAGTTGAAAAAATGAGGGTAGGTACTGCCAAATAGTCATAGGATCTCAAAAAGATAAACTCTAGATGGCAGCACGAACTAATGCAGCTCGTACCTCATGTTGTCAAGTTGTGCAGCAATGGAGCAGGCGGCCACCAATCGAGAGAATTGGTTGATTGTACGCTAATTTTCACGGCCATTTATTTTTTGAGACATTCTTAGCTGGGGTATCTCATTTTGGATAAAGATCAAGAAAAAATATGAGACGCGTTGATACTGTCACAATGAATAGATGATAGATTAATAGACGAGCTAAGTACCACAATTTAGAATTTAGCCCTGTCAGAAAGTCGAAAATTTCCCATGGCGAAATCGAATTTACATCCCACTGTCTTGAAGCTATCCAGGAATATGAAGCTGAAATATGACCCCTTAAAAAATGTTCTATACCTATTTGAATTTTTATTTTATGTCCGCAATCAGATAGAATAGGTATACCACTTTATTTTGAGTAGCGGTTTATGAGCTGTTAAATATTTTAGTCTTTAGAAAAACATCTAGAAATATGCTAGACCATTTTATAAAATGAAGAAGCAAGATCTAAGGTATGAGAAAAGATAAATTCTGAAATAAGGGCTGGAATTTATTATGATATATTTGGTTCGAAATATTGAGACCATATTTTTTTCTCCCAAATAAATATTCTTCTTCTCCGCTCAGTTTATGTGAAAATATAGGTATACCTACCTCCTAGAAGATGTAATATTTTTGTAAAAGCCAGTACTCACCTCCAGGATTTGCCACAAGAATGCATAATTTTTAATTTTTTTCCAAAACAACTGATCTCATCCAAATTGTGACAAAGATACCTTTAGATAAGTGTGTTACGGTATACATAAAAAGTAGAGAAAATCCAGTAGCACACTACTGATTTCCACAAGAATATTTATTCACTAAAGCTTACCACGCATATCCTCCATGAATATTATTTGGACGAAAAACTATTAACTCTAGGTATAAAAATTTCCGTCAAGAAAAAACTTTGCTTATTAAACTCCCACAGATAATTGTAATGTCGCGGCATATGTTTCGTTCGACATTCTGTGAGTAACGGCAAACTCGGTGGAATGGAATAATTTATTTCCTTAATCATCATAGGCGATCACTCGATACCTACCTATTCTGTTCTTATGGTCGTCGATTGTGCGTTTTCTCATCGCTATAAAAACCAATTCTGGAGCCGCACACTCTTCCACGTTCTTGGCATTCCCAACCTCTGGCAGCATTATCTCTTCCTCTGTTCTCTCGCTCCTTCCTGCGGTCGCTCTTTTCGGTCTCGTGTCTGCGTCGGTTTTCTTCGAAAGTTTGTAGTCCGTGGTGGACTACTCGACGCAATGAGAGCCTATCATTTGCCGTCGCGTCGTCTCCCAGTTGCTGGTATCGATGCGGCACTCTACCATATTCCCCCTAAGAACATCCTCGTTTTTGTTAACCTCCCTGATTTCGATTTCCCTCTTTCAGTTGACTGTAGAAAATCTGTCGTGGAAGACGTGTTTCGGGCATGCGGACGAGGTGACCTATCCAGCGAAGTTGGTACTATTATTTCCCTAATAGCATATTGACGTCTATTGGACGTTCAACACTTACTTTGCGGGCCTCTGAAATGTTCTATGTAGGTACGTTCCTTTCATGACTATGGAGGTAGTTTATTGGTCGGCGTCCAAATATCTAGCAAGTCAGCGAACGTCATTTGTAATGTCTGACGAAGTCCTTTTGGAACGTGAAAACGATTATCTGGAAAATATAAACTCTAAACAATATACGCATTTATCAAAATAAACGGCTGTCATAATCACCTAATTTTTTCCTGATTTTGGCGTCCTGCTCCTGGGTCCAATGCACGTACTCCTACTCTTACTACCCTAGTCGTCGTCGTTGTTGCCAACCATAAATTATTTTTCCTAAAAAAATCACTCCTCTTGGTGGCTGTAATCAGAGCCTCGCATCTCATGAGAAACTTTCAAGCTTCCTAACTGCGACCTGTCATCTAGAAAATATTTCCTGTATTTATTGTAGCCATGAAACCGATTCTTATTTTTCCTGGATTTGGAAAAGTCTCTGTTGATTGCAACTGAACTGAGGAGCGAAAGTCGAGTGAACCATCGACCTGTAATTACTAACTGCTGAGCTGATATCTATAGAGCATTTTCCATGAAAAAAAAACCGTTGAAACTAATGTTGAATTGTTTGCAATCATTTAAAAAGTTTAATTCCAAGCTAGGCGACGTTGCTCTACTTTCATTGAACTTTCCTTGTTGCAAGTCCTCAGACGTGAGATCCAATACTGGACTCAGTTTGAACGTCCGATGAACGTCGGGTGTCATTATCGTTTTAGGTAGGTACCAAGTTTTAAAACATTCATTATCTATCCAAAAACATTTGTTTTCAACAATTTCAACTATGGTTAACTACAATTTCAACTATTTTGGTCTCCCTAATGACATCTGCTCATGCTTCATAAAAGAGTGAAAGTCTATCTATTTTATTCTCAACTCAATTCAATATTTTGTATGGGGCTATTCTGAATAAAAGAGTGAACCAATTGCTGTACACCCATGCGGATGGACACAGGTAAAATTTAAAGTTTTAAGGTTTGGGGGTGGACATAATCGATACTTTGAAACGTTTGAGTTTTCAAAAATATGTCTGGCAGTCTGATTTAACTTTATAATATTAGAGTTGAAACATAATGGCTAGTTATCAAGAATCCTTTTAATAAAAATAAAATGTATGGGGTAGTGTACTTTCTTTTTTATTGGCATCTAAAATTCCTCTTAGATCTTGAAATAAATAGGTATAATAAAATCATGAGGATTACCTACCTATATGAGTTTTGCGTTTTTCAAAATAACGGTATTGGGTATCTTTTCCTCAAATTAACCATCGATATCCAGTCATATAGAGAAGTATGAGACCAGTAATGAACGAGATTTTTTGAATTTACGGAGGATTTAATTATTTGCAAAATTCTTATAAGAAACATCTCTTAAGTCACATTAGGTTTACCTATGTAAAAAAACATATTTTTAGTCAATAAGATTACCCCCGTACTCCATAAGGGGTTAGCACCTATGCACTGCAGATTATAAAATAGTGGTATGGAAAAAAAAACAATGAAATCCAGCAAGAGATAACTTTCACTACCTTGGCGTGCTTATATGTGTTCTTCAACGCCAGTAAGTATCTAATCACTTTAGTGAAAATAAGACATTTCCTTGAATTTTGTCTTTGCACCGTTTTTAGATTTAAAAAACTATTGCTCACCGATGTATGTAGATATAATGATAAAATATACAAATTAGGACGTGTTAGAGATTAGAAATTCATGCATGACTCTATTATTATAGCCAGGTACCTATTACATAATAGAAATTAATTGTTTCTGAACTCAATGAGGGATTTCCTATTGAAATTTTATTGTGATGAATATTTGGAAAAATAAATCAAAATTGTTTCCAAGGTTTTGCTTTCAAAAAAATCTGCAAACTAATTATACTTATTTTAGAATAAAATAAATATTTATGTTATGTTTAATTTGGACTATTAATATAAACATTATTTAATGAATGGATATATTTGCTTTTGTTAGAACCCATACCTAATATCTATTTATATCTCATATACAGGATGTTCCTAAATATCATGTACAAACGAAAGGGGGTGATTCTTTGATTTATTTTATGACTTAAATTTCTAATAAACAGAGGTCCGCAAACCCTTCGTTACCGATCTACAGGGACTACAGGGTGTTGAAATTTGTTCAATTAAAATACGGCAATGGTGTTGGTTAATATAAAGATATGTTTATTGAACAAAAGGTATTATTTGGGGGGGGGGGGGGTAGTCTGGAAAGTGTACCAGATCCAGCAGGATTAGGTTGAATCTAGAAGTTGTAGTCGAGTTTAAATACAGGTCAGGAAGCAGTGCTTGAAGAGAGGCTGCATCCGGTGCCAGTTTTCTGGAATGCCAGTCATCCATGTGGAGGATCAGGAATCGAATAGTTTGTTCATCATCAAGTGATGACCATTAATGGATGTAGAACAGATAGCTAGAGTTTAGTGGACTGTATGGAGAGAGTCTTGAAGGTGAACACTTAGAGAACGTGAAGAGGAGATGCCCTATCGGCTCCTAATATCGGAGACGAAATCCTACTGATATAACTCAAGGATGTGCAAATGTAAATAAACGATGGAAATGGATAGTAATAGAATGCGAACTCTCGAGGGAGAAGTCGCACCAGCAGGAACACCCAAAACTAGAGAGTAATAGAATGCGACCTCTCGAGGGAGAGGTCGCCACATCAGGAATGCCATCAGAATTGTATAGTAATAGAATGCGACCTCTCGGGGAGGGGTCGCCCCAGCAGGAATACCATGAGCATTGAATAGTAATAGAATGCGACCTGTCGGGGACAGGTCGCCCCAGCAGGAATACCATGGCAATCAATAGTAATAGAATGCGACCTGTCGGGGACAGGTCGCCCCAGCAGGAATACCATAGCATTTAGTAGTAATAGAATGCGACCTGTCGGGGACAGGTCGCCCCAGCAGGAATACCATGGCAATCAATAGTAATAGAATGCGACCTGTCGGGGACAGGTCGCCCCAGCAGGAATACCATAGCATTTAATAGTAATAGAATGCGCCCTGTCGGGGACAGGTAGCCCCAGCAGGAATACCATAGCATTTAATAGTAATAGAATGCGACCTGTCGGGGACAGGTCGCCCCAGCAGGAATACCATAGCATTTAATAGTAATAGAATGCGACCTGTCGGGGACAGGTCGCCCCAGCAGGAATACCATAGCATTTAATAGTAATAGAATGCGACCTGTCGGGGACAGGTCGCCCCAGCAGGAATACCATGGCAATCAATAGTAATAGAATGCGACCTGTCGGGGACAGGTCGCCCCAGCAGGAATACCATAGCATTTAGTAGTAATAGAATGCGACCTGTCGGGGACAGGTCGCCCCAGCAGCAATACCATAGCATTTAGTAGTAATAGAATGCGACCTGTCGGGGACAGGTCGCCCCAGCAGCAATACCATAGCATTTAGTAGTAATAGAATGCGACCTGTCGGGGACAGGTCGCCCCAGCAGAAATACCATGGCAATCAATAGTAATAGAATGCGACCTGTCGGGGACAGGTCGCCCCAGCAGGAATACCATAGCATTTAGTAGTAATAGAATGCGACAGCAGGAATACCATGGCAATCAATAGTAATAGAATGCGACCTGTCGGGGACAGGTCGCCCCAGCAGGAATACCATGGCAATCATTTTAATAGAATGCGACCTCTAGAAGGAGAGGTCGCCCCAGTAGAAACAATATTCATAGTACATTGGAGTTAGGTATATACCAGATTGATTGTGGCGTCACTTAACCAGAATACGACTCAGTATTCTATATATTTGATGAAGGCTTGATGGGACTCGTAGTTACACCGTAAATCACTTTACCACACAAGCACGATTAGAGAGTTTTAAAACCTGACAGCCGAACGAGGACTGCAATTGTTTGTTTTAACACCAAGATGAGCTACTTTAGCTCAGGAAAAAATACACTAGCGTAAGCAAATCAACTGACGGAGAGCGGTAGATCAGAATAGATCGAAATCTCACAATGTACTGTGCCTTCCTTATGCGGGCGCCTCCGCCAGGTACCATGTCTGCCTCGACCCTCGGGTTGCTTATTGAAAATTCTCAACCCTTCATAAAATCAATATTTTGTCAGCAAGTTCACTGTAATCTACCTGGCTGGAATCTTTATGAACTTTTGGGTCGGTTTGATGAAAATAGGTACATAAAGAAATGCATTATTTTAGGTTTTTGAATCGTTTATTCTTTGCTGAAAAACAGGCAGGTTTTTGAATTCACATTTGAAACAGTAAGCCTTATTTTAACAAAATTTTAATATTTTTTTAATTTTTTTTTATAGCTCGAGATCCTGCAATTTTTGAGGGATTTAGCTCGAATTTGAAATATAGGTTATGGAATAGGAGCTAAATGATTGCACATGTCAAACGTTTGCCAGAATCTACAGGATGATTCTATTTCAGGGGTCATGCCCCCTTTTCTGCCCCTGAACTTTTTCGCGGTGCGCCGCTGATCGATTCTAAGTAACAAGATAATTTTTCTACCTTATTTAGAAACTTTTTGTTCTCTTGTAGTTTTTTCGTATCACCGACCCTTGCCGAGAAAAATATTAAGAAACAAATCTCTGTAATTAGCTAGATGAAACTAAAGTGACTCGATAAACCTTTTCTACCTACAGTGGCGACAATAAAGGTCCCGCAGCCATATTTTTGCTCATTTTCAATAGGAATCTAGAAGTAAGACACCCCTCTCCGCCATATTCCTGCTCATTTTTAATATGAATACATTAAAATTTCAACACCCTGTAGATCGGTAACGAAGCGTTTATGGACCTATGTTTATTAGAAATTTTAGTCATAAAATAAACCAAAGAATCACCCCCTTCTGTTTGTACATGATATTTAGGAACACCCTGTATTATACAGGGCTTCTATTTCAAAACTTGCCACCCACGAACTGTGTAAAAGAGGCATATTTGTGAAAATCGACAAAACACGTCAAAAAATTTATTGGGGGGGAAGTTTCTTAGGTGAAACTGGACTTCCTTCCTTCAACCCCCTAACCCCAAAGGCTACTACCCCAAAATTTTCAAATAAGACAGGGGGTCGAAAGATAGATCATTTTGAAGGGCTGTTTAATCTGTACATTTTGCCGTCTTATTTTTCAAATTTGACCTCACTGTTGCAGAATAACACCTATTTCAATTTTTAAAAATGCCTATTTATCCTTAAAGACACCTGCTTGTTTACCTGTTGCTGTTGCAGTTTTACATAAAAAAACCTTCCCCCATTTTTACGCGGATAACGGGGTTGGCAAGTTTTGACATGAAAGCCCTGTATAAATAAATATTTACTGTTAAAAAGTAACAGAGATAGCAATGTAAACCCATCAGCATGGCGTTCAACGACGCTCTGGAAAATCCTCAGCAGATGGAGTACAGTGGTTTACCCCACAGTTTCGGATGATGAGGAATGAAATACGGGTGCTGAATGATATGTGTCAGGAATCTCACTGTCCGCTGCTGCATAGTGAATTGAAAGCATCAAGACGTGTCTATAAGGGAGCAATAGGGTAGTGGACAAGGTATAATTTCAATGAAATCGATGATCTATTCTTCATCTATGAAGTAAATAAAAGATATTTGTAATAAAAGAAATTTCAGATAAAATTACTAACTTTGTTTGAAACCGTTGTAAAAGTAGAGTTTTGGGAAGCACTATTCAAACGGAAATATTTCGCGCCTAGATTCAACGTCATAGCTGCTGTATTTGAGTATGAATTAAATCAAGCCTACGTCCGATATTCGACACAAAATTACTCATTAGTGCAAAAAAGAGAGATATATCAGCGTCTGTCGGGTATCATTACATCTAGGCGCATCCTCAACATAACCAATGCGTACCTTTGAATATAAAACTACAGGAAGGAGCATAACCTCGAATCTGCGTGACCAGAATATGTGGAGGTTGCATATCGTCGTCTTGCATACGAAAGGGCGTATCTAAAACATCCTAATTTTACAGGAGAGCGGTTTGAAATTTTTGATACAATCAAAACTTCCGCCACACAAATACAATAAGGTTTTTATTGCTGTTATTGGGGTTTTTCAGTCAGAAAAAAAAACAAACAGCAACAAAATATTCACTAAAGACATAATTAAAAGGGCATATCAAAAAAACTCGATTTTTTGAGATACGCCTTTTCGTATGCAAGACGACGATATGGCCGACTAGTGTTTCCGGTTTGGCAGTGGCGTATATCTATTTAAATATGATTGTCAATATTATGACTCACTTTTTTCGCACTAATCCCATTGCTTATTATCACTTAAAACCGCTAAAATCCATTAAACATCCACTTGAATGAGAACACAGCGAACCACCAAAACAAATTATGAGACATACTTGGAGGCTCAATATGGCCGTTTCCGTCTCTCCGTTGTCTGTAGTGACAGATAGAAAACGCTCCTTCCTGTGGTTTTATATTCAAAGATGCGTACTGAGTTTATCGGCATCTTTTTCTAAAAGCATGTAAAATATAAGGACGCGCAGACCGCGCTCTCGCCACTCTTATCATAACAGCTATGACGTAATTTCCGGGCGGCAAATTATAGCGTTTAAAATAAGCATAAATTTGTTAATTTTTTTAAAAGTATATTTTTGTTTTCTAGAATGAAAGAATCATCAACTACTGTTTATTTTGTTATAAAGATTAATAAAAAAAATATTTCAAAAAATTGTCCACTACCCTATTGTGGAGGCAAAAAAGTCTGCAAATTCAAATTACAATATGAATGCAGATAGCACTGCAAAAGCATCTTGGGACGTTATTAATGCTAGCAGAGAGAAATCTAAATCAATTGTTCCGGATATCGAACCAAATGAGTTTAACGACTTCTTTGCTGACATTGCGGACAGGTTGGTTAATTCTCTGTCGCGGGCGGGTTATTCCGTTTGATACATACCTT